ATGAATCATTGAAAGCATCTGCTCACCAGATGGCCTTTTGTTCTAGAGACTTAAATGGGAATTTTCAAGTTACATATATCGGATTGAAGATGAGACCTCTAGTGGCTTATTCAGCTGGTTCAAATTGGTCTGAAGTGTTTCACATTCCTGAAGAACCTGAGGGCTTTCTGCTCTATAGGTGCGCTCCGCTGCAGTGATCTGTTGCACTTGACGACGCAATTCTCCCACGAGGGCGCGCAGCGATCGTGGTTCACACTTCATCTGCTTAACGTCGGAGGACCCATGGTATGCTGAGGCTTGTGGTGTTGAAATCTTGACAGATTGTCGACCCGCTGCTGCTATTGTTGTGCTGAGGGCTCATGTCCTAGATTCCTCCTCCTGGTGACTGCTTGGTGGGAGTTGGGTTACACACTTCTTTTAGTTTAGATCCAGGATACAAATCCACGTGAGTCGGTTCACTGAATCATGGTGCTCGGCCCGCTGCCTTTCGGGTGTATAGTTTACCGAAGACTTTGACTGGGGACCCGAGTCGTTCTTCTGTCAGGTCTGTACGCCTGGGCAGTATCCTTGTCCGATCCCTCTCCCGAACTATGCGTCAGGCCAATCCTAATAAATCCATGCGGCATCGGTCGTCACGAAGTGGCCTTAAGAAAAGGATCAGTTTATCTGTTGCATACAGCGACGTGGATAAGCGAAAACATACTACTGCCTGCATTCGCTTAATTTTTCTTGCTTTACACATACTCACCCCGTTTCCTAACCATGTCAAAACAACCCATAAGGTTGTCCGCCTGCGCAAATGTATGCCTCCGCGCAGTGTGCTCAACATCGGATGCTGGAAAAATGGTTTTATACGCGTGAAAAGCTCATGTTTAGCTGGTCTCGTAGGATGGTTATGGTGAAACTTAAAATATCAAAAAAATTGTTAGCGAAAGCGGGGTTACACCGGTGAACTCACTGAGACATACGTTGTATAACCTGTAAATCCAGGGTAAATTCATAAGAAATGATGGCAAATAGGAGATGGGGCAAAAAATCGTATTTGCTCATGGTGTAGACACATTAGTGAAAAAGTGGAACGAAACCTGGGATTTGACCGCCAACGAAATAGCTTCCAGACACTTGTGTTTATCCATGGATAATGTGTCATGTAAGATGGTGCATCGAAATAATTACTTGGTCCACTCGGGCTTTCAACTCTGCCAGTGTGGGAGCACATATGACAGATTCCGGTAAGGCATTCCACATTCTGCGAACGCGTACTGAAAAGAAATTCCGACGGTGTTCCAAACTGCTGTGCTGCTCTGCCAGTTTGCGATGGTAGCCTCTCAAATCGCTGTTGTGACTGAGCTCTAGTAAGTAGCGGCACGTGTTGTTAGGTTCACTCAAAATGAGGTCTCCGTGTAATCGCCGATACTGTTTGCTGAAGACCCCGAGCACTTTAAGCCTTGGTTCACATGGCAAATTATACAGACCCTTGCTATTTTTGGTTGCCTGGCGTTGGAGTATCTCCACGGCGGTGAGATCTCTCCTCAGCTATGGCTGCCAGACTTGTATTGCGTACTTCCCATGTCGAGGTATGTACGAGCCGAGAAGCTGTGGAAAACCGAAGGGTCGAATCGTCCGAATGAACGCTTTAGGATGCCCACGTGTTTGATGCCCCCTTGACACCGTTTCAGTTTGATTCGAACATCCAAGGTCGACCTGGACCAAAACTCATAGAACCTTCTCGCCAGAAGACATTGGAAGCTCCTGGCTGCCGAGTGTAGGAGCACACCAACTAGTGCCGTAAGCGCAGCACTCTACATTTGTCCACATTGAATCGTAGATTCTAGATTGACTACGCGTATACCCCATCCAGATCAGCTTGAAGTACTGTGATATCATCTGGTGTGTTGATCACCCTCCATACCTTGATATCATTGGCATACAGAAGACAGTTCGAGTTTATGAGGCCTGTAATATCGTTAATATAAGTCAAAAATAATCGCGGTCCTAGTGCCGATCCTTGTGATACTCCGCATTCAACTAGGTGAGATCTGACAGCGATTCACGCACTTGTATTTCCAAGCGCCAGTGTAGAAGAAAGCTTTTGATCCATCCTAGGAGAGGATCACTAACATCAAAGGTCTGGAGTTTGAATAGCCGAAATCGAGAAAGACTATGTCAACACCTGTGCCAGAGTCTACCGCTTCAGTCCAGCTGAATCGTGCTAGTAGTAGATTTGTAGTGCATGATCGATTTCGTAGGAAGCCATGCTGTTCTTGTGGGTGTTAGTTAAATTCTTCCAAGTACGCCGTTAGGGCATCAGAAATAATAGCTTCCATTACCTTTGAAAGTACCGGTAGTAAGATTATGGGACGGTAGTTGGCTGGATTGGTACGACTACCTCCCTTGTGAGTAGAAGGGATCATCCAGTTTTCACAAATCTGGCACGTACATTTCACCAAAAAGTGTTGGAAAATCTGAACCAAAAGCCCAGCTAAACACTCTCATACCACTGCTAGTGACTTCGTGTGCATATGATCGACTCCAGTAGAGCTGTGCTTGCGCCTACGCAACAGCCCTTCTATTACATCTTCTGCTGTGAAGGATATGTGAATGAGTTATTGGGTTGAAACAACCATTGCCAGTGATCGCACTGGAAGATTGTGGCATATTGTAGGCGCAGGGTATTCGCCGCTTCCTTAGGCGTCCGTGTGGGTCCGTCCGCTGTTTGGAGAGGAGGAATTCCCCGTTTCGCCTTACATAGATGTTGACGTCGTGAAACAGATGAGTATGATTTGATGCCATACGCACTACCAACTTCAGCTGGTACGCCACTTTATCCTTGTGAATAAGCTGAGTACAATGGTATCGGTGAGTCGCATAGGCTATCCAGTTCTCGGTATTCGGAGAGTTTGTAGATTTACCAGGCTGAGTTTCGCACCGCTATACACTTGCGTGTCTTGCTTCACTGAAACAAGACCATGTTTTCCGGGCGGAAGCTCTTAGTTGCTGGTGCTTCGGCAACCAGCGAATAAAACTGGTTGACGAAATGTTCCCATGCACTAGATGGTGCCTCGTTTGCCAGAAAGGTTCAGTTGGATGTCTCACTTGATCGAGCTAATATGTTGTAGTATATAATCGTTTTTGTTGGGTCGGTACTTTCCACAGAATATTCTGCATAGTATATGTATTCGAAAAGTAGGACTACATGAATGCTGAGGCCCAATGGGAGGTCGACGATCCCCTCGCGACTATTAGTTCTTCGTTGATGAATATCCCATCCAGTATCGAAAGCTCATATTTTTCTTAGAATCGGATGGGAGTGTTGATGTGGAAATATGGCGCGTAACTGGAAACGAACTATTGTAGATCGGCCTTAAACTGTTCTCTGGGATCTGTTTGGGATTCCTGTGTGTGTGTGTGTTGAAATGGCCAGTAATGAGAATGTGACTGTAAGTTGTATTTACCACGTTCCTTAGTGCGGATGCCAGATAAAAGTCCATCTCAAGCGTGGAGGAATGAGGGCGGTAAATGACCGGCACTAAGTAGGTGTCGTCACCTTTTAAACGTAGATGGTACCGAAGCAAATCCTGCACAGTGCTGACCGGATCCTCTATGAGCTCACATTGGAGGTCGTTGGGTTGGTCGTGCAGAACAATGGATATATCTGGCAGTGAAATCTAAATGGCATTTATGTCGAGGCGTAACCATGTCTCGGTTATGGCGATGAGGTCGCAGGCTTTTGAACCTTGACGCAGATGCAGTTCGGAAAGTTTACTCAGTAAGCGTTGAGCGTTGGTGTACGTACAGGAAAGCCTCACGGATGTCAAAAGCTGTTGACTAAGAGCACATGAATTATGTGGATTTGTGTCGCCCGACGAGAGGTCGGCACTTAATCGCTTTTTGGGTGAATTGTCAAATCTCGATAGGAATGCAATCTGTTTTTGGTCTCACTTGCACCTATGGTATGTGGTCACTTGACAGCTTTCTAGATAGCTACGAGCCTTAGCATACAGGTTTTTGAATTGCTGTTGTGGTTATATTGAGTCGTGGGTAGTGTCATTTCCGCGAGAACAGAAAGTGGCTGTGGCTCTTGTAGCGCCCCAAAAGATAACTGCTATCTTTCATGTACAATTTAATTGTTGACCGATTGTACATTACTCCTCCTTGTTTTAATCTTCCTTACAACCGGCTCGTCACTCGACCACCTTGTAAGTTCCCGCGCTCACGTGTTCGCTCTCGCCTCGCTTCATCCGTCCGCTTCTCATTGTAGCCCATCGAATACAATCCGCTGTGTCCGACTCCCATTGCCTTCTGATATCCGCGCTTACTTTCGTGCACCGTTTCGGACTAGTATTAACTAGTCCTACATTCTCAAACTGCTGTCTTCAGTCGTAGTTCCGAAGGAATTGTGTTGCCTAGTAACTACCAGCTACGGATTAAGTTTACGGTCATCTGTATCTGTTGTGACTGCACAGTTAGTTTCAGTATCCTAGGGCCACTGGTTCCGTAGGCGTGTCCTTCTTCTTTGCTAGTTGTCGGTAGTGTGATAGAATTGTGTAAGCAAGCAGAAAGTGCGCCGCAAACAAACAGAGCAGTTGATTGGATGCCTGCGCATATATCGTCTGCGCGCTGATTGGTTCGCTAGAGCAGGCTTGTTTAACTGATTCAAAGGAAGAATCTCATGAGTGCAGCAGCGTCGTTAGTTATGATAATGACAGTTATTTATATAGAAGTTCCTACACGCTTGTCAGGTTGTCACCTTTGTTGAGCTGGCCTTGCTGAATAAACTGTTTGTCCCTGAAGCACTGAGTTTTGCGACAGGTAGCTCGAGCACGCCATAAACAAAAAGCAATTTTGCTACTCCCCGTGTTGTGGTCGTTTGAATTATTTTTGTCCCGCTGGCGTTCGCTCCATGGAACATTCGGAAATACGCGTATCCCACTGTTTTTCAGTACGCAGGCGGTATGCCGACAAAAGTACCGTCTCGACGTCATCTATTAACCCCAGTGTACGGCAACACTATTGTGCATGTCATCCAAATGAACGGAAATGTAGGCGTACTTCGCGAGAAGCTGTTTATGAACCCCAGTTAACCGACAGCTCCACGTCTTTCGTTTCCACAGCCTCTCCATCTGAAGCTAGGAAGCCCCGTCTAAGCAAATTATACGCCCGCACTTTTTTAAAGAATACGCTATCATCGGGAAAAACCAAAAAGCCCACTACATTTGATGGTTTCATCAAACAGTTGGAAGTAGAACAACTGCCGTTGGAAACCCTGGAAGTCTCTACGAAACGGTGCAAAGGGGGACGTAGCAAAGTCCCTCGACTTGCGTATTCATGTAGCATATGCAAGAAGAAGTTTACCAAAACTTGTGTGGCCAGGCGTCATGCGCTGAAACATGTTAATGAAAAACCATTTCAATGTGCCTTATGTTATAAGAAGTTCACTCAGAAGTCTACAGCAAAGTCCCATGTAATGATGCATCACCAGTTGAAACACAGACCATCTTGTCCCTTTTGTCATCGACAATTTCGCGGCCCTGCGATCCTTGCGAAACATGTACGCTCACGTCATGGAATAACATCATACACTTATCCACCCCCCGATCAGTTGGATGCGAATTCGGTTGTGGAGAATTTCGTGACCACTGAACCCCAGTCGCAGGCCGATACTACTACAGCATATTCACATGTTATTTCAGCTAGCACAAACATTGCTGCTACGCTTTTCAATTCAGGCAAGGCTGTGGAGAACACTTCGGAGTCAATGTTTCTGAAACTATCAGATGTCTCCTACAGTTGTGTGACTAACCCAGCGATCACTTCGGACCCCGGTGATACTTCCACGGCTTATCGACCTTACAGATGTTCTCTATGTGCCAAATCCTTCTTCTCACGGGCCACTCTATCTGTGCATATGCTTCGCCATTCAGATTCCCCCTTACCCCATGTTTGTCATTTCTGTCCACTTCGCTTTGCTACATCGTCCGATCTCACTCACCACGTCCGCTCTCATTCGCCCCGTAGGCGGCTTAGACTCGCTCGCCAAATGGCCCAGTCTGCTAGTCCCTTGAAATGGAACAGTTTTTCCCAATGCTTTTTAAGCACACGCAGATGCAGGAGTGATCGGTCCTTCAAGTGTTCTCTATGTCCTCGTTCGTACAGACATCTTATCCATTTGAATTATCACGTTCGACAGTCTCATTGCCCCGATCAAGCTCCATTTGAATGCGATAAATGTGCAAGACGTTTCGTTAACGATCGTCGTTTGACCCGCCATGTACAAAAGGCTCATGCGTCCCCGACTTCACAATCTAAATTGACATGTTCCGTCTGCACTTCCCATTTTGCCACCGTCAGCTCATTGAAACGCCATATGGTTATTCACTCGGATTCCAAACCATACAAATGTCACATTTGCCATAAAATGTTCAAATTTCACTCTTCTTGTGTGAAGCATATCAAAACACATTCATCCAGCGTGGTGGATTTGGACGAGTTACCTCACCAAAGCGACGTTGTACAATTTTGTCCCACCTCTGGTGAATCTACCACTAATTTACCCGCAACGGATGGAGAATTAGTGCACCAACCGAAGCACAGCTATACTTATGCATACTTCACCGATGTGCAACATGAAATGTGTGTACGCTCCACAAATGCTACCATGTATCAGACCACGAGGAATGTAGCCGACGAAACTGGGTTGGAACGCGGCATCATTAGAGATTGGAGTGATTCTTTGTTGTACGATCCATCTCTATTTCCAGGCAATGATGGCATGATCATTCATCCAACTGATAAGGCTCCAACTCACTGTTACTCTAATCTAGATCCTGTCAACACTGAGACTATAATCACCGGTCACGCTGTGTCAGGTGGGGCTCACACTTTATCGCAATATGCTGACTGTAAGCACTCTGAAACGCGGGGTTGCCCTACTGGAGTTTTCGGGACAGTATCCACCAATGAGCGACGGGAACATATGATTCCTCCTGTGTCTGGAACAGTTTTGTACGATACAGCCACAGTGCCGGTCGGACATCGGCTGGATTTACCAGAAGGCACGGCCGACTCTTATAATCTGGTTCATCCTCCTATAGATTCGACCAAGGGAACCGTTGTTCCAGGTTCCCACTTCAATTTTTGCCGCCTAAACCCAGCACCAGCTTGTCCTACTTTCTCCGATGCCACGGTCAGGTCCTCAGTCGTGAATGCGTGTGAACCAAACCAATCGTCACAATCATTTTTGCTTTTTGGATGCGGTGTTTGCGATGCAAGCTTTGAATTTCCCCAAAGTTTGGCCATGCATGTGCAATCAAATCACTCCATCAGACCGAAACCGTTTCACTGCGATACTTGTGGATCCTGTTTTGCTAGTGAAACTCTCCTGATCATCCACAAACGTGAACATTCTGATGTCTCAGCTACGGAGATTAGTTGCCCATCTTGTCCTCTTTTGGAATTTGGCAATAAATCTGCGCTCACTCGACATGTTCTACTCTGTCATCCGTTACCCACAAAAGATCGTTTCCGGTGCACACACTGTAATACTCGGTTCCGACTGCTACGTAGCCTCAAGACCCATGTGGCTGGTCTGGTGGATGCGGCAGAACAGCGTCGGAGCGAGAGCTCAGTGATTGAAAAATCGCTGAAGCAAGTGTTGACTAGAAGACGGAAGCGCCTCCGAGAACGCGTCCATGTGATCGAACCTGCTTTGCTACGGTCCGTGACTCAGAAGGCTCATTTGCCACAAGAGTGCCTAATTTTGTCGGAAAAGTATTTGCTCAGCGTAAGTTCACACTTAGTTGTTCCAAATCAACTTACTTTTTCGGTGTTAATACTGATGTCCAACTGATTACTCTCTCTTTTTATCATACCATCTTGCTTTCACTATTCTGCCATTTTATTCAACCGCTTTCAGGCCGGTTTTGTTACAGGTACCAGTATGAATAACGAGGGTAACTTTTAACCAAAGCTGAGGAGGTTTGTTGTGGTTTAATTGGTTTCTCAGAAACACACGACGCTCGCAGGACTCGTTTGTATTACCCGCAACAGACATAAATATCATACTCGTTCAGGACAATGACATCTGCAGTGTAGCACCGTTTTGTGGGAGGAGGGCCTGGAGTTGTATCTGACATTAACCTCTCAAGCAGAATTTAGGGTAAAGGCGCCTGTTTCCCGGAATCCATACGATCACAATCAGATGAACATTAAGGTAGCATTCTTGAGATAACTTTTATCTGGCCTTCGTTGTTCCACATTCATGATCACCTCTAGGTCATAGCTATGGCACTTCGGCCATCAGACGGCGAGCATGTTGGCTTATCCTATCTTGTGATTCCTCATGTTAGGTGCAGAGTCGGTCACGTGACTTTCAATCTGGTAGGAGAGACAAACTTACGGCACTCAATATGGGATGTAATTGCTTCATTCCTGTTACCAGCTCGGTGGTCGCCCCCTTGACTCCCATGTCATCTCAAATGCAGTCAACAATCAATGAACACTGGGGGATTTGCATAGTCGAGGCACAAGTCAACGTAACATTTTCTGACGAACAAATCTGCTTGTCCCCACTTTTATTCAGCTGCATACCTAGTCCTGATGACACGCTAATGCCAGTTGACACAGTATGCCGTTAGCAACTATTGTCAAGAGTCCGAGCGTACCTAGAGTCCTTACGCCGAAGAGCCAAACTCCATCGATGAAATAGTGAATGGTCCTTACTCTAATCATACATTCACTAACGGTCATCCCCTTCTGACTCTAAAAGTATCGCGGATTCGTCAGGGCGGTAGTTACTGTTACAGTGCGAGCATTAATATCAGCATTCACATCCCTATAGCTTTCAGTACATGTTCTACGAACAGTTGAATAATGAAGGAATTTCAATTTTTCATAAATAATCCGAAAGTTGGTAAGCATCTGGCAGTCTTACAACGATACAGTGCGCTTGGAAAGTACGAAACGCATGCCAGAAAGCGAAGTTGGGTCGTGAGAGTTTGTTCATGGTTACTGAACCGCATCGCGACTTCAGCTAAACAGCGCGATATCATCCGCATCATGTGGGCCAAATAGTTTTTCCTTAGGTAAGGCATCCATATCTGCTCGATGGGACCACAAAAAAGAAGCAATCTACGCTGCAGCCTGGTATAAAACTGGATAAGATGGGGTCACTCGGCAATCATGCCGACCCGTGGTCTTAAGGATCACAAGCTTGTCTTGTACTACTGAGGTCGGGGCTTCGAGCCTGTGTAAGGGACCGGGCGACCCCTACAGTATCCTTAGCTCACGCGCGACTGGTGGTGGTTGCGCCACAGCAAAGCGTCGGTACAGTGTGCCAGCGTACTGCTGATGCCTTTTTTCTGAGCGGCTTCAGATCGTTTCCCTGTACGTTGTGACAAAACTCAAGGTGCTCGAGAAATGACATGTAGTGTTCAAGTATTTCATGGGGGCGCCTTTCTGTATACTTATGTTGAATAGCATGAAACGGTCAACTGATTCAATGGCTTCCTTGAAGTCGGACACAGCTGTACTTGACTTGAGGGGCGTGCGATACTGCTGTCTTGCCTGTTGGAACTGGGTGGCTTGTAGATTCCCATTCTAGTTGGAAACTTATGCCCTTCTCTCGTCCAAGAGGCCTCTTTCTATAATATTTTTTAAGCTACCGTTGGGACTATTGAACACTTTTCGACAGCTCTTTTTTCCTGTGTTCTGTTCGCTCCCGTTGGTTGGTTCAGTACTTGTTTGAGTGACCAAGATATATGTACGGCTCAGTACTGACTTTTTGAAACCATCCGCTTTGATTAGCTTAAAGAAAACGATAGTTATCCACCGCTCCTGTCTCTTTGCTTTCTAGCATTTTCTACTCCCGCCACACTGGCTCTGATTTTTTTCGCACCTGTTTTCCCATCTTGTCTCGTTGTGTTCTCGGTGTCCGTGACGATTTTTTGGTACTCCACTACTGTATGTTTCGAACATTGCGATTGATTTCGCCAGAGGTCGAAACCCTCGAGTCATTGGTGGTGACGGAAAGGCTGTTACACTGCAACTTTTTCTCGGTACAAATACCTGAAAGCTTAGCACATAGTGTATTGGCGAAGGCCTGCTTCAATCGCCGATCAGAAGGGGATGGTTTACTCCGCTTCCAAATGCAAATCACCGAACATCGCCACCAGGTATATATATATATATATATATATATATATATATATATATATATATATATATATATATATATATATATATATATATATATATATATATATATATATATATATATATATATATAACACTACCAATAGTATAGTTGTCATAATACCACGACGTATTGGAAATACAATAAACCAACGAAAGGAGAGGAATAAAAAGAGTTCAGTGTTTATGGGAATAGAGTGTCACAACAGGTCCGCTATTGCGCGCGATTTCTTGCCATATCCAAGAGTGTTTTCAGCCAAACGTGTTCCGGATCCTTTACACCCCAACAAGGGAGCCAAAATCGCCCGATCACGGCTAACTTGGACGTCAGCTCCTTCATCTTCCTGCCCCAAGTCATACGTTGACCACTTTGCTTCCTCTTCCAGCCGACTTTTGCGCGCGTGAAGATGGCGCGGCGAGGTAAGCGATGAGTAGGCATGCGAAAACATGCCCAAACCACGGAAGTCTGAGTAGAGAAATTATGCTGCTCAGTGGCCGGCAAAGTCTGTCTGATCTGAAAATCCTCCGTCGTACATCTTCATTACTAGTGTGTTGTTGCCATAGAGCAGAAGCGCTCTCCCTATGGCATTGTAAACTTAGCCCTTCAGAGCTAGACTCAGACCGCCTCGACGTCAGAGATGGCCGAGATTGGAAAATGCAACCCGTGCCTCGGAGACGCGCAAAGAGACCTTACCCCTTTAAACCATTAGGGCTGGCGCAGCTTCTGAGTTGAACGAACTTCTCTGCTACTTCCAATGAGTGATCTGAAATGATAAGGATGCAGCAGCGCCTAGCCATTCCTACAGGAAGACCTTGCACTTCGATGGTGCGATGAGCATTCCAAACTGGGAGACAGACACCTCTAACCTACACAGGACATTATGGGCAGCCGGTGAGGAATCGCAGATTACGGCGACGTCGTCTGCCTACTCCAAATCCCGTTGTCTGTCCCCCAGAAGCAGCTCGACGCCACTGGGTTCATAATTCTCCAGAGCACTCTACAGCATTTCGTCAATGGCGAAACTGAACAAAAAGGGGATGCTGAGCAACCCTGTCTCACGCCACTTTTGAAACTGATGGAGACGAAGGTCCACCATACACCCGTACTCGGCTTGAGGTTTGAGGGTAGATGGCTTCAAGTAGGCTGATTTACTTCTCGGGTACTCCGCTTCTCAGTAGACAAGTCCAGAGAGCAGTTCTGTCAACTGAGTCAAACTCTGCTGGTATGTCCAAGAAGACAACGATCGTTGGCCGGCCAAATGCTTTATGACGCTCGTGTATTTGTCGGAATGTCAAAATGTGCTCCATGCAACCCCATCTGAGCGGAACTCAGCTTGTTCTTCACATACACTCTGTTCGCATGCCAGGCTAAGCCACCTTCAAAGCAGTGCGGCGAGCACCTTGGAAGCGACGCAGATGAGACTAACCCCTCTGTGGTTGGCGCAGTCAATTCGGGTACGCTTTTTGAAGACGGGCACGATATCCGCAAGGCTCCAATCAGATGGGATAAGTTCAGGGACCCAGATCTCTTGTAGGAGAGAAGTTCACTCCCGAAAAAGTGATGGGCGTCCATCTTGGAAAAGTGCTGGAGGGAGTTCATCTGGGTCAGGGGCTTTGTAGTGCTTTAAGAGGCCAAGCTCATGGGCAACCTCAACCTCAGATGGTGGTGAAATGTCTGCACACCAGGGAGCGCTCTGCATTCCAGAATGGGCACCAATCTGTGCTGCTGGCCAATTAAACTGCTACTCAAAATACTCGGCCCAACGCTCGAGTCGGCGTTTTTGACAGTGGATTGGCTCGCCACTGATTTCGCATAAAACTTCGCTTACAGTCGGCCTTTGTCACCGTTGATCGGATCAGGAGGAAAAGCTTACGAAAATTCCCCGAGGTGGCCGCTTGCCACCAGGCCTTGCGATTTTCCCGGAGAAGCTGAGCTCAGCATTAGTAGTCTTGGGTCGTGAATGGTATTTACCGCTAGCAGGAATTGCTCGACGGACTCCGAGAAGTTGGAAGGGTCGTGCAGAGATCCAGTGCTTGACAACACTACTGGTGAAGCCACTGACCAGGGTTGAAGAGGAGATTGCATGGTTTTGCTTTGGGCACTGGAGTTTGCTGGTACGTGATCAACATGCATTGTGGCGACAGATGCAGCTTGTTGATCAAAATGGGGCTTCATTTGCTATCGTTTCCACTGTGGACTAACCAGTGATGTTTATTCGCATGGATCATGATGGACACAGAAAAAATGGTTGGGAAGAAAAGGGACAAACGTCTGTGGTCACCTGATTTCTAGTATCCAACTTGCATACAATGGATAACGCAGTCTTTCTGTAACTCTCTGGCGACTTGTTCTGAATGACCTCAATGTTCCACACCAAAATGTCTTACCACACCTTGTGCACTCCATAGCGTTTGAATTGTCTGTTAGATGCGGACCTGTGTCACTGCTCCTTACCTCACTAGATCAGCACTGCTCAGTCTGTTTTATTAGAACGGTGTTTAACGGCCCGTGTCCTCAAGCATCCCAAATTTACCTTGTAATCCGAAGGTGCGGGTTCGAGCCTGCGTAGTGGACCGGGCGACCCTCGCAGT